TAACATACTCAGCAGACAGGTAGATGCGGACGTGACAAAAGGCCATTCACCTGGTTGCCTAGGTGACAGAATGCTGGTGTACTTTCCTGCTCAATTTATGTGTTGGTATAAAAGCTGTCTGGAGAATAAGCGCGGGGACATCTTCAGGAGGACGGTGAGATGCCCTTCCGTGATGACCGTGTAAGCTGTGTTTGATTGTTCCTTGCGCCTCCGTACCAGTCCAGTTAGGAAAAATAGTTATCTATGATGGAGTCACACGGGCTCTAACATACCTGGAATTAACTAAAACCCCAAAACAGCTGGGCACACATGTAAGACATTGAAGTGGGAAGATCTACTTCTAATCTGGATCTTTGAGGTGGAGAAACACCTTTAATTCAGATCTTCTGAAATGCGAAGACTCACCTCTAATCTGGGCCACACCTTCTGCTGGCAGCCCATGTAAAGAAAGAACATGGAAGAAGAAAGGTCTCATTCTTTGCCTGCTTGTTCTTGCTCTCACTAGCAAGTCCATTCCTATTCAAGATTCCAGTAAATACTGAAGACCCGCTAAGATGTCAAGCCTTGTGAACTTAACAGCTACTGGATTCTTGGCCCTTCTTCGCAGGCAACATTGTTAGATTAGCTGGACCACAGCCCATCAGTTATTCTAATAAATAATAACTAATAAATAATAAAGTTATTCCCCTTTGTATGTATAAGGAGAGATTTATTCTACGAGTTCTGTTATTCTAGAAGACCCTGACTAATAATAACTAATATAACATAGTTGTATCAGGAAAAGGATGTTTGAACTCATTAATCCTTTAAATTTCAAGTGTCCTTACATGTTTTTTTAGGTAAGTTGTTTATTCTCATTGTATGTATTCACCTGCCATCTCATAATGTTAATTTAAAAAAAATAAAACAAAAGATGATTGGCAAATGTTGTTCATACCCATGGTCAGTGATTTAAAAACAGTAGCAGCCAACAGAGTTAGTTCTTAAAATGTGTGACTCTGGGCAGTGGTGGCGCACGCCCAGTACTTGGGAGGCAGAGGCAGGCAGATCTCTGTGAGGACAAGGCCAGCCTGGTCTACAGAGTGAGTTCCAGGACAGCCCAGAGCTACACAGAGAAAGCATGTCTCAAACAACAAATCAAGAAATAAAAATAAATGATAGTGGAGCTGAGCAGATAGCACAGTGAGTGAAGGTTCCTGCCTCTGAAATTGCTAACCTAAATTTGATTCCCAGGAAACACATGGTAGAAGAAACCAGTTCCCACAAGTTGTCCCCTGACCTCCACACACATGCCATGGGGTGCACACACATGCGTATGCACATGTGCACACACACACACACACACACGTTTTTCTCTTATTAACTTTATTTGATTTTAAGGCTCTATCATTTCGAATAACCTAGAATGTGTCATTTATGCTTTTACCCCCATTGGATGCCTTTGACAGGTTGTATGTATCAAGAAAATATCCATTTCTTTTAGATTGTCCAGTGTGATGGAGTACGGATTTTCTAGTATGCTCTTATGGTTCTCTGGCTTTCCTCAGTGTCTGTTGTTATACCACCCCCCCCTTTTCCTAATTTTGTTAATTTAAATATTCTCTGTCTTCTAGTTAATTTGGCTAAGGGTTTGTCAATTGTATTGATTTTCTTAAAGAACCAATTTTTTGTTTCATTGACTTTTTTGGTTTCTTTTTTATTGATTTCAATCATAAATTTGATTAATTATTGCCATCTACTCCTTTTGTGTGTAATTTATTTTTGTTCTAGAGTTTTCAGATATGCCGTCAAGTTACTAGTATGAGATCTCTTCAATATTTTTTTCATAGACAGTGCTACAAATGTGCCTCTTAGAATCCCTTTTGTTATGTCCCATGAGTATGTTGTTTTTCATTTTCACTCAAGTCTAAGAATTTTTTATCAATTTTTTTGATTTCTGTCTTGACCCATTTTCATTTGGTAATGATCTTCTTAGCATCCATGAGTTTGTGAACTTCCTGTTGCTTCTGCTATTGTTGATATTCAGTTTTAATCCATGGTGATCTGATAGGGTACATGTTCTTTCAATATTCTTCATCTGTTGAAGAGTTGCTTAGTGTCCAAGTGTAGGGTCAATTTTGGAGAAAGTTCCATGAGCTGTTGAGAAAAAGGTATATTCTTTTGTGTTTGTGTGAAATTTTCTGCAAATATGTTAGATCCATTTAAGATTTGTTAGTTCCAATATTTCTTTGTTTAGTTTTTGTCTGATCTGTCTATGGGTGAGAGTGGAATATTTTGAAGTCACCCACTATCATTGTGTGAGGGTCATTTGCTGTGGCACAATGGTTTTATCTGTAAATATTTGTTTCTTGTACTTGTTTAATAAAATGCTAAGCAGGAATTGTAGGCGAACAAACCAGGCAGGAAGTAGAGGCAGGAGGATGAGAACAGGAGAATTCTGGGAAGTGGAATGCTCATTTTACAGTTGTGACCCAGTCACAGAGCAAGCAAGATGTGACTACCTTGTCAAAAAAGGTACCAAGCCACATGGCTAACATAGACAAGAATAATGGGCTAGTTGAAAATGTAAAAATTAATTTAAAAAAGTCTGATCTACTAGGCTGATCAGTTTATGACTAATGTAGACAGTCAGTAAGTGGTTTAAACTATAGTAGTATTTTTTTGGTGAACTTGAGAGTCCTTGTGTTTGGTGCATAGATGTTGAAAGTAGCAATATTCTTTTAGTGGATTTTTCCTTTGATGAGTATGTAGTAGCCTTCGCTATCCATCTAGATTATATTATTTGAAGTCTACTTTGTCAAACATCAAAATGGTTACACTGATTGCTTAAGTCCATTTGCTTGGAATATCTTTTTCAATCTTTTAATGCTGAGGTGATATCTACCCTTGATTAAGGGTAGCAGCAGGATGGATTCTGTTTTCACAACCATTTTGTTAGTCCATGTCTTTTTATTGAGAAATTGAAACCACTTATGTTGAGAATTATCTATGGGCAGTGTTTGTTGATTTCCATTATTTTGATGTGGTGATATGGGCCTCCTCCCCCTTCTTTCGATTTGTTGGGTCTGATACATATCCTTATGTTTTCTTGGCTGTGATTAGCCTCTTCGGGTTGAAGTTTTACTTTTAGAGTTTTCTGTAGGGCTGAATTTGTAGAGAGATACTGCTTAAAGTTGCTTTTACCACGAAATCTCTCTCTCTCTTCCCCATCTATTGTGATTGAAGGTTTTTGTGGGTATTGTAGTCTGAACTGACATTTGTGGTCTCTTAGAGTTTGTAGAACATCTTACCAGGTCCTTCTTGCTTTTAGAACTCCATTGAGAGGTCAGGTAGTTGGTCTGCCTTTATATGTTATTTGGTCTTTTGCCCCTGAAATTTTTAATATTCCCTTTTTTCTGAACACTTGGTGTTTTGATTATTGTGTGCCATGGGGAATTTCTTTTCTGGCCAGTCTATTTAGTGTTCTGTATGCTTCTTGTACCCTGATAGGTACCTTCCCTTTTACATTGGGGAAATTTTCTTCTATGATTTTGTTGAAAATATATTCTGTGCCTCTGACATGGGTTTCTTCTCCTTCATCTGTTCCTAATATCTATAGATTTGGTCTTTTAAAAGTGTCCCAGATTTCCTGGATGTTTTGTGCCTAGGCTTTTTTAAATTTAACATTTTCTTTCGCTGAAGTATACATTTCTGTGCTGGATTTTTTTTTTAAGACTTAACATTTAATTTGACTGAGGTATACATTTATCTTGTTTTCAATGACTGAGAATTCTCTTCCACCTTTTATATTCTGTTGGTGAGGCTCACCTCTAAGATTTGTGTTTGAGTTCCTAAATTTTTCAAGTTTTCACTCACTTTGTGTTTTCTTTATTGATTCTATTTCCACTTACTAGTCTTGAACTGGTTTTTTTTTCATTTCATTCCACTATTTTTGTGTGTTTTCACAAATTTCTTTAATGTATGTATTTAACAATGTCTTCTATGAAGACTTCTAACATATTCATAAAGTTTATTTGAAGTCCTTGTCTGTGCTTCAAATATATTGCATTTCTCAGGGATTAATGTAGTAGGGTTGCTGGACTCTGGTGGAGACATATTGTCCTAACTGTTATTGGCTGTGTTTTTATGCTGGTGTCTAGGCATCTGGGTTTGGGGTGATTGTAATTCTAGGTGCTGATATCCCATCTTCTTGGGTATTTTGTTCCTTACTTCCTGTTGCCCTTGCCCTTGCCCTTTCTGGTTCTTAGTAAAGTGTGGTGGCCATGGGTTGTCTAGTAGGGAATGCTTCTGAGATCCTGATAAGTGTGCCCACTGTGGGGGTGATCCCCAGTTAGAATGTTCTTAGTATTGGAAACTGACAGAGATAGAGATTGACTTGGGGAGACAGGGTAGAGAAGGTCCCTGGAAGAAGGAAAGCAGGTTCCACCATTAGGATCTGCTTTGTCTCCTAGAAATGGGGGCAAAAAGAGGAGCAGTCACAGTTGATAGTCTGCTACAGAGCTGGGGATGAGTCTGGGGATGGGATTTGGAGCAAAGGAAGGAGTGTAGAGTTCTGAAGACTGTCTACCTGCTTCCGTGGCCTGTGTGGCCCATGGTTCTGCAGGGAGTGCCTCAGGAAGTTGGAGGAGGTTGAGGCAAAGGAGGGTATGGACAAGAGGATTGTAGGAGATCTGTGTTGTCATCTGAAGATGGTGGCAGGGAGGATGGGGAAGCTGCAGCATGGGTCTGCGCAGAGTTCCTGCGCAGAAAGGGACTGGATTTGGAGAAGAAGAGGGAGAGTGAAGATCTGAAGGTCGCATGGCTGGCATGGCTAGCAGGTTCCCAGGGAACCCATCTTAACATCTTAAAGAGAACGGTTGTTGGATGACTTAACTTTATCAAGTTTTAAAATAATTATCAACAGAAATAAAGCAGTTAAATATATTTTTAATCCAAATAAGGTTGAGTAAACATGAGAATGGCAACATATATGTTGAAAATGACAGCATATATATATATATATATGAATTTCTACAAATAAGGCTATTAAAGAAATGCCTACATAAAATATTAAAAACAGAAATATTAAAATTGCATGGAAACAACAGAACTTAAAAATTCCCCTTTAAGCTCAGCCTCATTTTCTGATTACTTACTACATTAATGAAGACCTATACATGTCCTATTGTCTTCCAAGGTTAAATGAAACACTGCATCCTAAACTGAGATTTTAGAATGAGTTATCTGTGTTTCCTGCCCTCCAGTGGTATCTGCCCTGATATCTTTGCTGCAGCTGCCAGTCTTATGAAGGGAAGGGACCTCTTTTACAGGAACACTGGGACTACTTTTACATGGACATTGGGAGATTATGGTACACTGTATGGCAACATCAGCTGTTTCCCCCACAGCCAGCTCTTTCTCTGTCTGTACCCCTACATCACATCTTCTAGCCTGAAACACACAGTTATTACTGATTTTGTTTTGTGAGGTATGTTCTGAATTGTACTGAGACTCTAGAAATGTATCAGTATTATTTTTCACTGAAGACTCATGAAAATTATGAGTTTTGACATTGTCTTCCACAATTATGTCACCTAAATGATCTACCACCTTTTCTTTACAAAAATTATCAGCTGTTTCTGTGTCTTTCTTATTTGAATCTTCAGTTTGCTGCTGTATTTGATCTTCATCTTCAGATACCTAAAAAAATGAAAGAAATCTATGGTAAGTTTTAAAATTTGTCATTTCAAAACAGTCCTTAAATTCATAGTCTAAAAATTTTTTGAAAACTAAAGAGAATTTGTTAAGTTACAAGTGAAAGCAGACATGATATCAAAGGTTAATTGAAGACTCTCCCATGGCTCCCAGAAAGCTATGATTTTATAGATAGAGCTGACAGCAATTGCTACTGCAGTACAAATGCAGAAGAGAACTCTCTGTCTCCTTCTCGGGACTGCAGTCACAGGCCTCACTATCCCACAACACTCTTTAGCTTCTTCTGAAGGGCAGAGGAGAAACACGTCCCAGGAGCAGCTAAGAAGTTAACCTTGTTCACTCATTGGCTCCTTAAGTGAAGTATTTCAGTTACATAACTGCTATTAGGTTCATCCACGAACGATACTTAAGTTATCAGATTACTGGAAATTGAGTGGTTATAATAAATACTGCAACTGTTACATAAAGGAACAAATTTTGTTGACTTCTCAACTCTATAAAAATTTTATAAAGATTAATGAAAATACCATATGGATATTGTAGTTAAAATGTATTGTTTGCTGGGATTGTAGCTCAGTAGTAGAGTGCTTGCCAAAAACGTGTGAAGCTAGCATTTCTATCACTCCCGTGGTGAAGAAAAATAAAATACATATTGATTATTCAAGCTTGGAAGTAGATCATCATCGTTTGAATAACATAAAACTAAAATTAGGTCTAGACTTCAGTGGATGGACCCAGGAAGCAGAAGTAGCCCATGGGATCACTGAAGTCAGTTAAGCTACACTGGACAGAACAGGTCCTATGCATCTCATCTCGTCAACATGAGTGACAGCGGCACTCATATGAAGGAGCACAGCTGCTGCTTTCTTGACATATTCTGTAGGTAAAAGTGAAATTAATCAAGTGACCACACACCTGAAAAAACTGAGAAATGCATTATGAAGAAAAAGAATGGAGCACTTTGTAAATGTAGATATGAGGCCTCATTTAGACTAGGGAGTCACTGAAGGACTCACTGCAAAAACACTGACACTTGGAACACAATGAAGATGAGACCCAGGAAGCAAAATATATGAAGGAAGGGTCAAAGACCTCAGTGTGAAACAACGAAGAAAGCATTCCTGCAAGGTAAACTTCCGTACCCTGCAAGGTAAAAGTGTAGGAAATGACTGTCCTATTACGACTCCATTTGTATAGTGATATTTTGTTTATAAAGCTTGCCTGAAGATCCTAGTGCAGAGCAAAGTCACTAGTTAGCTATAGGGGCCAGGCAGTGGTGGACATGCCTTTAATCCCAGCACTCAGGAGACAGAGACAGGTGGATCTCTGTTAGTTCAAGGCTACCATGAGCTACACAAGATTGACTCTGTCTAAAAGAGAAACAGTGTTCACACAAAGGGGATGTCAGCACTTGGGATCCCATGCCTTTAATCCCATTACTAGGAAGATGAAAATAGAAGTAATATGGCTGGGCAGAAAGAGGGAAATAAAGCAGAAGGAGACAGAAGTTCAGGGCAGTCTAAGGATTCATAGGGACAGGATTGCCCCTTTAGTCTGAGCACTGGTAGACATAAGAACTCTAGTGGCTGTCACTCTACTTCTCTGATCCTTCAGCTTTCATCCCCTGATAGCCGACTTGGAGTTTTTATTATTAAGACCAATTAGAATTTGTGTTACACATTAGCTCAGGAATTAAGACCAACAATTGTCAGTTGGAACCTCATAAAACCAAAACAGAGAAGAAACTGGAAAAGCAGTCTGTGTAGATCAGGACACAGAAGGGAGACTATTCAATGCAGTCAGGAGCCAATTTTCCCAGCTGGGAGCTGCTGTAAAGGGTTTAGATGGGTTGGTAAAACAGGAGCCCACTGAAGGCGATTAGCATGATTGCATTTGTGTTCTTAGAAAGCAGTGAACTTTGCTACCTAAGTTGAAGCAAAAACAAAATCTTTTGAGAAACAACCATTCAAAAACAAACTAGTAAGGACATAAAATTGGGTTCTAGTGAGAAAGGGTGAGAAATAGGTAAATTTGCAATTGATCAGGTGAAGGAATGACTATGGGAGGATGTGGACACAGATTTCTGTCCCTCCTGGTCCCACAGCCATTTAGTCTCAAAGAAACACACAGAGACCTACATTAATTATAAACTGGTTGGCTTAGTAGCTCAGGCTTCTTATTAACTAACTTTTACATCTTAAATTAACCCATAATCCTTATCTATGTTAGCCACGTGGCTTGGTGCCTTTATCAGTGAGGCATTCTCATCTTGCTTCCTCTGAGTCTGGGTGATGACTGCAGACTGAGCCTTTGCTCCCCAGAATTCTCCTATTCTGGTCACCCTGTGTATACTTCCTGCCTGGCTACTGGCCAATCAGCATTTATTAAACCAATATAAGTGACAAATCTTTACAGGTTACAATTTTATTGTCCCACAGTAGGAGCAGGCAGAGTGAGGATAACTGTTTTTCTAGGCTTCTAAAATTAACACTTAGATATACTGAAATATTTAATAATATGGGAATTGCCAGAAAAACTTAAAAGAGGATTCAGTTTGAAATTCAAAAGGGTAGAGATTCTCTTAACTACCCAAGAACTGTTCAATAGAACATTTAAAAAAGGCTCAAAGCTAAAGCCATCAAGCAGCACAAGTGCCATTCTAAGATTTGTACATCATTGCCACTTTAGGGCACAGAGTGACAGAAGATCCCATATGGAGTTGTCATAGCATCGTGTAGGGAGGACAGAGGAGAGAATGGTAGAGCATTCTCTCTATGCAATGGTATAGGTGGGAAGGAAGTAACACAGCATCCTAATGCTGAAGGAGAGACAAAAACTACTTCATTTGTTTATGGTAGTGGGGACTAAATGTTTTCAAAAGATAAAATAATTTCCTTCAAGATCAGGAGTCTTTATAGCCAAAGGCTCAAAAGTTTGTTTGCTATTAGTCAACTTAACGCAGCTGCAGTCATCTGGAAGAGGGAACATTCACTAATTAAGGGAATGTCTCCATCAGATTTCCTGTAGGCGAGTTTATATGGTTTTTCTTTGATAAATGATGGACATGGCTGGTGGGGTGTGAGGAGCAGCACTCTTTTAGGTGGGGTAACCCTGGGAAGAGGTTATAAGAAAGCAGGTTAATAGCAAAAGTTTGGCTTCTTCCTTTTCAATTTGAATCCCCTTGATCTCCTTTTGTTGTCTTATTGCAATAGCCAGAACTTCAAGAACTATGTTGAATAGATATGGAAAGAGTAGACAGCTTTGTCTAGTTCCTGATTTTAGTGGAATCGCTTTGAGTTTCTCTTCATTTAATTTGATGTTGGCTGTAGGCTTGCTGAATGTTGCCTTTATTATGTTTAGATACATTCCTTGTGTCCCTGATTTCTCCAAAACCTTTATCATGAAGGGTGTTAGATTTTGTCAAATGAGACAATCATATGTTTTTTTCTTTCAGTTTATTTATATGGTGGCTTACATTGACAGATTTTCATATGTTGAACTATCCCTGCATCTCTGGGATGAACACTACTTGATAATTGTGGATGATTTTTTTGATGCATTCATGGATTCGGTTTGCCAGTATTTTATTGAGTTTTTTGCATCAATGTTCATGAGTGAGACTGGTTTGTAATTTTCTTTCTTGGTTGATTCTTGGTGTGGTTTTGGTATCAGGGTAACTGTAGCCTCATAAAAAGAGTTTGGCAATGTTCCTTCTGTCAAATACTTGGTTTTACTTTTGGTTTACAATTTCTGACATTGTTATATTTAAAAAATGTTTTTAACTTTGAAAATCATTTTTATGTAATTTTTATTTCCACTATTGGCTCATTTCTTCTCAATGTCAAAAGAGAAAAAACAATTTGAAATTAATATAGCAAAAATTAATAATTCCAAAAGGAGGGGCTTACCAAATCAGAACTCGAGCTGAATGTACTCTCCATCAGCCGTGGAGAGTAGCTGGCGGATTGGCTGCTCTGCGAAGACTCCAGATCTGAAATAAAGCTTCCACTCATGAACGATGGGACCACTCACACTCTAGCAAGGTGGAAGACATCTAAATTTCACTAACATAACAAACAGCACTTTAAGATGTGCCAAGCTTATTTAAATTTTTGATGAAGGCAATTATTTCTGATGAAGAAAAACTGAAAAAAGTGAGGCATGATCTGATTCCTAGCAGTGTAATCTAAGGCATTTTCCTCATAAGATTTGGCAAGTCCACAGGCACTGTGAGCCCAGAAACAGCAAGGAAGAAGCAAGCCTGTCTGTGCCAGGGATCTTCTCCATAATGGCATATGAAGGGCATGATGACAAAAATGAAGGCCTTCCCTTGCCTCTGGTAATTTAAGCACTTTTACTCAAATGTAACTCTCTGACTGAGGCTCTGAGCAGGTGTGAAAGGCCTGCCAGCCCGTGTGTACCTGTGTCACATCCATTGGAACAATGCACAAAATTCCTGAGTGAACGTGTAAGGAATGAGTGAAGTCCCCAGTCAATGCGAGTGGTTAGCATAAGTACAGCCATGTCAAGGACTCCAATGTCTCAGACTCACAGGAATGGCAAACCATCCTTGGCCTGTGTGCAGCGCTGACAGTCTATACAGAATGTATTGATGGCAGCATCGTTTTTCCTGATGGTTAGAGCCTCAGACTGCTCCCCCACAGAGACCTCCTACTAAAATGAGACAGAACTGCCTCCTTGTTCAGCTGCATAGGAAAACCTTCCTCCTTGATTCAGGCATCTAAAAGAAAGGCTGGCTTTCCAAGCTACTGTTGGCGTGTACTCCATCAGAGTGTAGAATGCACCCAACTCCAGATTTTCTCAATGTGAGTCTGAGTCTGTCATTTCTTCATTCTCAGTTACCCAGTTAGGGCAGGCCCTAAAGTCATGCAGCTTATGGAACTTCATAAATTTCTTCTTTTTAGTGTTTACCTTTTTGTGCTTCGATTATTCCTTTGTTGTGTTTCAACTTGTATCTTCCAGGAAAGACTGCTTTGGTATTCTTTCTCTATATCTACTTGGCAACAAATTGTACCCTTACACTTACCTTCTTATTCTTCCTTTTTATTCTCTTGTTTCTCCTTTCCCTATTATTTCCTCAAAAAAAAAACCCACCTCTAAACTCAATTTTCCTGCAGGACTACTCTAGTGCACCTGTCTATGAACTTCAGGGACAAGGAGCAGTGCCCAGTTTCTAGCTCAAGCTGACCCTGGACCGCTGCTGGATCCCTGCATCTTTACTGCAGTTCGCTTCCCCCTAGACATCAGGAGGGAACTGAGGACAACTCGTCAGGACTCAGACTAAATAAACAAAGTAAGCAAACAAACTCAGACTTACCAAAGGAGATGAAACAATCAGTAATTTTGAAGCAAAATTATAAACAGAGTAAAAATTTAGCCAGGAAATAAAAATATCAGAAAAAAGAGATCCTAACAGAAAATTTGGAAATAAGAGAACCAATAAATCAAATAGCACAGAAGGGAATTATCAACAGATAAGATCACACAAAGAAAATTTCAAAGATGGAGGACAAGCTAAGACAAAATACACTGTAATATATATATAAAGAAAAAGCAAAATGAATGTGACCAACATGTTCAAGAACTCTGGGACATGTTCAAGAGGTAAAATCCAAGAATCCATGAGGTAAAAGAATGATAGCAGAACAATTACTAAACCCAGAGAAAGAAGTGGATATCCAAAAGTGTGGAGGGCAGAATTTAAAGCCTCAAATACACATCACAGTTAAGATGTTGAAAATACAAAGAAACAACATTAAAAGTTGTAAGAGAAAAATATCAATGTATATACAAAGGCAGAAACAGCAGACTAATATCACATTTTTTGGCAGCCTGAAAGTAATTAACTGTCAATCAGAATTACTATACTTAGAACGATTTCTTAAAACTGGTAGAGAAATAGCCTTTTAAGATAAGCACAAAGATAATTCATGAAAACCAAGCCAGTTATGCTAAAAATATTTAAAGTAAATAGAATAAGAAAAGCAATCCCGTCCATAAAACTAAAGGAAAGTAAGCCAGAAAGGAATCCATCATGTACAACCCAGTAAATTTCTCCGTTCAGGGTTCAGGGAACCCAATGGAAGGGGAGGCAGAAGTAGAAGAGTCATAAGGGACAGAGGACAGCAAGAAAACAAGGCCTTCTAAATCAACATCAGTGCACATGAACTCACAGAGACTGAGGCAGCACGCACAGGGCCTGCATGGGTCTGCCCCAGATGGGTCCTAGAGCTGAAAAGGGAAGTGCACACAAGCCTCCATCCCTAGCCAGAAGCTATCTCCAACTGATAATCACTTGGAAATGAAAATTTAGGTTTTTGCTAGGGAGTCTCACTGGGGAAAGTACTCTTCACGGCAGGCTGCATGTCCAGAAAATGAACGCCCAGGCACTATTGGAGGTTGTTTGCCTCATCATGTCACGTCAGGAGCTTTCCTTTTTATTAAAAATTTATTCAATTTTTTTATCTTTTATTTTTAAATATTGTTTTCTTCAATCATGCTACCCTACGGGTCCTCTGCATAGATCCTGTGTCCTCCAGTTCAGTGTTTCTGTGGAGCCCTGGGTGCTAACAAGTGGTCTCTGTCTCTTGTGACTTCACTTGAACTCTCTTCCTTCTGCTTGTTCATTTTGGCATATTCCAATGTGCTACTTTTTATGTTATGCTATTTTATTTCATTATATTATATTATTAACCCTTAGAAACCTGTTTGCTTTCTAATGAGAGATAGAAAGAAATAATGGATCTGGAAGGAAGGAGATGGTGGGAAGAAACTAGAATGAATAGAGGAAGGAGAGACCATAATAAAAGAGGAAAATTAAGTTATTAAAAATAGTGTCTGATAAGAAAACCCATTAATTTTTATGGTAATTTAAGAGTTTTTTGTTGGTTTGGTTTTTTGTTGTTGTTGTTTTTTATTTTTTTTTTTTGAGACAGGGTCGCACTTTGTATCTCTGGCTATTCTGAACTCACTATGTATGTAGAACAAACCGAACTCAAACCAAAGAGATCTACCCCCTCTGCCTCCCGAGTGCTGGGATGAAAATTGTACCCTACCACACCTGGCTCTATTTTTATGATAATTTAAAATAGTAGATTAATAAAAATTGTAAAAGTTCACAAAGGTTTCTAAGTATCCTAGCAGACAAGATAACAGGAAGAGCTGTTCTAGGACCAAAGACCTACGACATGCCTAGTGGTTATAAAACCTTTATGAACAGAAAGTCACTCAGATATGAAACACTAACATATACAAGCTTATAAACAATTAGTATGCAAGATCTAGAAAAGACACATAGGGCAAAGCAAATATAGCCAGAGAAAGACATGCTCCTTAATGAGAAGCAAGCATCTTAAATGCAGCACTAGGCAGCATAGCATGCTCACAAGCAACTGTTTTCCAGATGTCGAGAGGCAGAGGCAGAGTGATGGTGGGCTACAGTGAGATCTTGTCTCCAAAAGCAAAACAAAAGGTAACACGAGCAAAACATGGAACATGGCTGACTAAGTAATCTAATTAGTAAGCAGAGAAATAAAATATTAAAACTACCAGGAATTATAAGGTTTAAATAATGTTGAAAGATTGACATAGTACAGGTAGCTATATAACTTTTACCTGCTGCCTACAGCAGGCTAAAGTAAACATGTAAGACCTAGGAAACAAGTTGGCATTACCTTAGAAAGGTAATAAATATGCATCATGTGAAAGATGGCTGGTTCTATTCCCAGAAATATACACAAGAACTTTCATGTGTGTTCCAGAAATGTCAAGAATGGTCAGGATAGCCAAGGACAAAATATTGAGGATAATGTAAGCAAGTATCTGTTGCCAGAAGATGCATGAATCAAATAGAGCATGTTGATGCAAAGAATGCTGGGTAGCCGAAGAAACTAATCTATAAAAGCCACAAATTCCAAATACATGGTGAAAAAGGAAAACTGTGCCAAAAACAAAAACAAACAAAAAATAAACAAAAAAAAAGAAAACAGGACAATAGTGACCTCTAGGGAGCATGGTAGGAAATGCAATAGGGGACTTTTTTAAAGTACAGTTTGCATTGTCTCAAACTACAGGTGAGTATAAAACTATCTGTGAACTTGTAAATTTATGTTCTATGTGTTCATCATGACTATTTTATAAAAGGAAAGAGAAATTTTGAGGAATCAATTGTACTGTAGTCTATTCTAAAACATCTATTAAATAATTGCTTGCTGGTAAAATCTTTAAAACCTCTAAAGCTTGATGTCTACTTCTTTGTTTTCTAAACAAGGTTATCCTACAGTTACACGCACAGACTCTCTCAGCAGACATCGGCCTCGCTTTTAAAGAACATACTCCTCTTCTCTCCACTGGGATCTAGAGAAAAGAATCAAAATTATAACCATCCATAGTATTCATAAAACTGTTCACATATCCAACCAATACCACCATTTCTTCTTATAGAACTTTCAACTACATTTAAATTCCAATTCAAATTTAAACTATTAAACTAAATTTAGAAACATGGATAGCAGAGTAGGTGACCGCTAAGAAATGCATTACTAACAAAAGGCAAGACGTCACACTGTTATGGTGCATGTTGTTAAACAAATTCAAGATATTAAAGTCCTTGAAAATGTAGTATGCTACATGTTTTCTGCTTTTTTTTTAAGGTGGGATGTAGAATAAATAATAAAACCCCAGAGACAAATTTTGGGTTTCAACCCACAAAACAAAAAAGCAAAGCAATCAAGTCACTAGAAAAGTCTTAACCTCTACCTACCAAAGGCTGGGTGACCACACACTAAGCATACTAAGACTCTCTTTCCTCCCATTTTATATTCCCTTGAGTGCTGGGATTAAAGGCATATGACTCTCTAGTAATGGAATTAGATGTGAGCTATCACCACCTGGATTCGTTTCTGCATTGATCTTGTATAGCCCAGGATGGCCTTGAACTCACAGAGATCCATTTGTCTCTGTCTCCCAAATCCTGGGACTAAAGGTGTGTGCCACCGCTGCCTGACCTCTAGTGGCTTAGCTTTGCCCTTCTGATCTTTAGGGATATCAGGTACCATTTTTCTTTGAAAAAATATAATCACAGCTTAGAACTATAAATCATCTATGGAACATACAGTTGGCTGTAATTTTATCACTTTCTACATAATTAATGATTTTTGTTTTTTTGTTTTTAAAAACCAGAATGTTACCTAATTTCTGTGAACCTAAAAACATTGGACAACTGGGTTTATTCTATTCTGCTCTGGATTTTTATAAAATCTGATGGGAGAATGGCTACAGGTACCCCTTGTGAGTGTCTGAGGTGCATTTTACAGCTGACAGATCATATGACAGACTATATGAGAGTCTAAATGACAATCAACATGGGCTGAAAGAAGTGATTTCTATGTCTTTTGGTGGACACAGGGCTATAGATAAGTGAAGTAGACACTGTCTAGCTGCCTTCCTTTCCTCTTCAATGTGAAGCCACATTATATTTCTAAGTATGTCTTGAGTTTGATGTAAACTTTATATAGATATTATGAAGAACTTAATTTCGAGACATGAGCAGAAGTAACATGCAGTATTTCCAATGCAAAACCAGTAAAATCTCAAGCATGTTCCACTCAATGTATACTCAAAACCATCCAGAACAAAAGTCCACTACAACAGCAAGAATTGAACAACAAAATATAGATTAAGCAGAAGAAAATGACCTAAAAATAACTTCAGGAGAATGCTTGAGGCCCTTAAAAAGGAAATGAAAAGTTTCCTCAAAGAAATAGAGGAAAAGACAAAAAAAAATGGAAGAAATCAACAAATCTCTTAAAGAAAGCCAAGAAAAAGAAATCAAACAAATGAAAGAAACAATTCAAGACTTGAAAACCAAAATGAGACAATAAAGAAAACACAAATTAAGGGAATTCTGGAAATGGAAAATACAGGGAAAAGATCAAGAACCACAAATGTAAGCATAAACAGAATACAAGAGATGGAAGAAAGTATCTCAAGCACTGAAGATACAATAGAGGAAATAGACCCATTGGTCAAAGAAAACATTAGCTCTAACAAAAGCTTAACACAAAATATCCAGGAAATATGGGACACCATGAAAAGACCAAAGCTAAGAATAATAGGAATAGAAGAAGGAGAAGTCTAACTCAAAGGCACAAAAAATATATTCAACATAAACATAGAGGAAAACTTTCTCAACCTAAAGAAAGATATGCCTATGAAGATACAAGAAGCTTACAGAATACTAAATAGACTGGATCAAAAAAAATATGTTCCTTCACCACAAAATTATCAAAACACTAAACATACAGAATAAAGAATGAAAACTAAGAGCTGCAAAGGAAAAAGGTCAAGTAACATATAAAGGCAAACCTATCAGAATTATACCAGACTTCTCAATGGAAACAATGAAAGTCAGGAGATCCTGGTAAAGCATTATGCACACATTAAGAGACCACAGATGCCAGCCCAGACTACGATACCCAGAAAAACTTTCAATCACTGTAGACAGACAAAACAAGATATTCCACGACAGAATCAGATTTAACCAATAACTAGACACAAACTCAGCCCTACATGAAGTACTAGAAGGAAAACTCCAACCCAAGGAAGTTAGCTACATCCATGAAAACACAGACAATAGATAATCTCACAGCACCAAATCCCAAAGAAGGGAAAAACACACAAATTAACATCACCAGCAATGAAAACTAAAATAACAGGAGCTAGCAATCACTGGTCATCAATATCCCTTAATATAAACAGACTCAACTCACCTATAAAAAGACACAGGCTAACAGATTGGATATGAAAACAGAATCCATCTTCCTGCTCCATACAAAAAATACACCTCAACTTCAAAGACAGACATTGCCTCAGAGTAAAGGGCTGGGAAACAATTTTCCAATCCAATGGACCTAAGAAACAAGCTGGTGTAGCTATCCTAATATCTAACAAAACAGATGTCAAACTAAAGTCAATCAAAAGAGACAAAGAAGGACATTTCATATTAGTCACAGGAAAAATTCATTAAGAGGAAATATCAATTCTGAACAAATACACGAGTACCCTCATAAGTAAAGGATACACTACTAAAGCTTAAATTACATATTTTAATCTCCACACACTAATAATGGGAGACTTAAACACTCCACTCTCACCACTGGACAGGTCTATCTGACAGAAAATTAAAGAGAAATGCTATGGGACAATGGTCTGTACCTTGCCACTTGTGTTTTAAATAAACGCTGATTGGCCAGATGGGGCAAGTAGGCAGGAAGTAGAGGCGGGGCAATGAGAACAGGAGAATTCTGGGAAGAGTCAGTCTGCAGTCGTCACCCAGATGGAGAGGAAATCAGACACAGAGCAAGCAAGATATGACTGCCTTGCCGCAAAAGGTATTAAGCCATGTGGCTGACACAGACAAGTTTTATGGGCTAATATAAGTTATAAGAGTTAATAAGAAGCCTGAGCTAATAGATCAATCAGGTTTATAACTAAAGTAGACCTTTGTGCATTTCTTTGGGGATAAACAACTGTAGAACCATGAGGGACAGAAACCTCTGTCAACAGAGAAATAAGAGAACTAACACATGTTATGACTCAAATGGAATTAACCAACATCTATAGAACATTCAATCCAAACAAGAAAAGGATATACCTTTTTCTCAGCACCTCATGGAACCTTCTCAAAAATTGACCACATACTAGGTAACAAAGCAAATCTCAACAGATACAAAAAATTGGAATATCCCATGTATTTTATGCATTTGTTAGGGTTACTATTGCTGTGATAAAACACCAGGACCAAAACAACCTGAGGAGGAAAGGGTTTGTGTGTGTGTGTGGGGGGGGTATTTTTGGCTTATGCTTCCAGATCACTGTTCATTATCAAATGAAGTAAGGACAGAAACTTAATCAGGGTAGGAACCTGTAGGCAGTGGTTGATTCAGAAGCCATAGATGGGTACTGCTTACTGACTTCTTCATCATGGCTTGCTCAGCCTCTGTTCTTACAGAATTCAGTACCACCAGTCCAGGGATGGGACCACCCACCATGGGCTGGTCCCTCCCCTATCAAGCATGCTTAAGAAAATGCTCTATAACTGGATCTTATGGAGATATTTTCTCAATTGAGGCTCCCTCTTCACAGATGACTCTTAACTTGTTTCAATTTGACATAAAAATAGGAGCACACTTACTGAGGAAAACTTGTATAGTTAAGAGTATCAAATTACGTAAACCAGTGGTTGAGTTCCGGACTCAGTTGCAAACTCAAAGCATTTTTTAAATAAAATCTTATGGTGCAGTAAGAACTATTTTAAATATGTCTAGATTACTTTGTCTCAAATGAAAAACATCATTTTCTAACTTTAAGCCATAACTTTTCTAGTTAAAGAAAATATGAATCTACATAAAAATAAATTTACAAATAAAAGATATCTTAAGTCAAGGTAACCTAAATGCTAATGTATGACACCACAAACTGAAAAGACAACATGGCAATAAGCTTTACCTCATTACGGTCAAAATCACATGACTGTTTACGATGTAATTCTTTCAAAGGAGTATCACTGCTAGGAATTAATAATAAAAAAAGTATTAAAGCATATTTCCTCTGACAGTTATTATTCTAACTTTTGGTTTCAAAACAGAATTATGTGAGAAGCTTCTTAAAAATATGATTGACAAGTACTATGCCAAACTACTCATTTAATATGTAGGTTAAATGTCTATATTTTCTATGTACTTGCATATTTGTGTATGTACACAAGTGTGTACAAGCATGTGTGTACACATGCAAATCAGAATTATGTGAGAATCTTCTTAAAAATATGGATTTGTTAGCACTATGTCAAAATACTCATTTATTTTAGTATGTAGGTTAAATGTCTATATTTTCTTTGTACTTGCATATTTGTGTATGTACATAAGTATTGTGCACATGTGTGCGCACATGCTAATGCTAGAGTTCAACCTCAAGTGTTGTTCCTAAGAAGGCATTGGTGGGGAAAGCTAGCAGTCAACAGGCCCCAGAGATCCACCTGTGGTCCTCACTTCTCAGTGGTGGGATTAGCAGTATGCACCAATGCCCCCAGCTCTTTTCCACAGTGCAGGACTCAAACTCAGGTCCTAGTGTTTGTGTACCAAATCATCCTGAGTCAAATTCCCAGCCCTGAAACAACTATATTGTAACATAATCACTCCAAGGAATCTAAATCTACACTCAAGTTTGAGAATCAGGTTCTTGTTTTCTTTTTCTGTTTTGTTATTGTTCTTTTGAAACATAGTGGCATGCATCCTAAGTCACTTTTTAAAAGCTGAATTTAAAACTCAAAGTCAAACAAAATGTTTTACTCATAAACTTCCAGATAATTGAGGAACAAGGAATTTAATTTCTCAATTTTAGAAATATATTATGTACCTAAGTTTTAATTAATAAAAGCCAATTCCATTAAAATGGCATGTTTCGATTCTTTTATCAGTGGATACTTTAAAGCTTTCCAAAAGCCAGGAGGTAGTGACACACACCTTTAATCCCAGCACTCAGGAGACAGAAGTAGGCAGATCTCTATGACTTCAAGGTCAGCCTGGACTACAAAATGAGTTCCACAACAGCTCTCTGTGACACAGAGAAAAGCTGTCTCAAACCCTAACCCCCAAAAAAGATTTTCATAAGAAATCACTTTTACAATAAAAATATGAATAAGTAAATTTCAAATCATAAAGATCTGACTAAATTATCATTATTACTAAGAAAAACAGGACTATTCAGAAACTATGAGCTAAAATAATGTTTCCCTTCATTATAATTTTGTAGGAAAGCCAGCAAGGGCATCCTCAAAACTCAAAGGAATAAACCATGTCATAAGAATAAACAGATCCAACTAAAACCCTTAGACTTAAAATATGTTTTACACCACCAGCGGTAGAAAACTAGATCTGGTGATGCATCGTTGTTTCTGTGTAACAAAAAGCAGAAGAAAGATGAAATAAGGGACAGCAACCCTCAGCTTATCTATTCCGTCACATAGGGAGACTGTGGGAGGGGAATGCTAGCATGCAAAGATGTACAACATAAACTGTCGCCTAGTGGGCCTATCCTTGCCTATACTGCCTCACTGAACTCTCATACTCCCTGCTGATTCTATACTAAACAAGCAACATTCCTGTGGGGACCGCAAAGTGAGACAATATGCTGTTTGTGCTAATAAACATTCTACCCGTACGATACTTCTATCTCTGTTCCTCAATGAATTGCTATGTAGAAGATACATGGTGGATAGTCAACACTAAATGATCAGTTAAGGTCTTAGATGCTGGAAAGTGTGAACACCATAGGTTTAAAATGTTGCTATTACTAAAAGTTGCTATTATTAAAAGAAAAAAAAGTAAGGCTTCTTTGAGACCAGTTTGCTCACCATCCAACAAAACCATTATCATTTCATGTTCTGTTTGCTCATTTGAATACACTTATTATACTAGATCTTAAGTCAAAACTTACCTAGAGCACACTGGGTATTCCCAGGGATTTATCTGCACTTCTTTCTCTTGGTCATTACTTTCAATTTTTCCTTCAAAGAAAACACTGAATTAAATTTAGCAACATTTATTTTCATTTTTAGTTCAAAAAAATGAACAAAAAGGATACACAGAGGAAAATTGGTTATCCATAATATGATATAATAAAGCACACTAATTGTGGCTTTATGCACCTCTAAGCATATTATATATACTATATATACACATATATTGTATACCCACATATATATTGTGTATATATGTGTATGTATTCATCCCCTGGTATCTGATAGGAATTGGTTCCAAACCTTCCTCAGTACTCATTATCCCCACAGCCACAAAATCCCTTGACACACCAGTGTCTTGCATGAAATGGCTCAATCTGCTGAGATAATGCATATGCCCTCATATCCTTTATATCACCTCCAGGTGACTTAGACTCTCTGATACCATGGAATGCTCTTTATGGAAAAGCTTGTGTGTGTGTGTGTGTGTGTGTGTGTGTGTGTGTGTGTGTGTGTCCACATACGCAGTGTATCGGTGGAGGTCAGAGAACAACGCTTAGGAGTTGGTTCTTTCCTTCGACCTTGGGATCCAGGATTAATCTCAGGTCAGCAATAAGTCATCTCGCCAACTCTGAGGATGTAGTAAATAGCATGAATATTCTACTGGTTAGGGAATAATGATAAAAAATGTCTGTACATGTTCAGCAAAGAAATCTTAGATTTTTTATCTATATAGTTAGTTGAATCTAAAAATACAGAACATTTAGATATGGAGAGCCAACTATATGTATATGTGTATAATTTGGGTTAGGGTTATGGTGAAACACAGTAATACATACTTTATAGAGAGAAACTAAGTGTGCAATACCAACCTTTTCTTCCACAGCTGGTTAGGTGACAATCTTTCTCAAAAGAGCCTCTAAATTCATGTATTTCACTATTGCTGTACTTCTTCTGGTAGGGCTTCTTTGACTGACATGTTCCTAAGTAACTTGTATTATGTGGAGGACTATGAAAAGCTGCCCGAGGAACTGTCAAATCCCCGTTAATGAACCCACCAGTGTAATGGCTTTCATCAGAAGAAACTATACAGGAGTCACTCAAACTACCAGAGCCACGCTTGTGAAAGGCTGCCATTCTCCCCGGCTGATCTCTGCTTAGTAAATTGATCATATTGGGACCAACAAAGGAGTCCAAGTCGTGATTAGATGACAGATGTCTCGGAGTTGGCTGAATCACATGTTCTAAAAAATTAGAGAATGCTTTCCCATCATTCCTCCACATCTGTTGCACTGCTGTTTTTTCCATAGCAAAGTCTGGTTGTCTTCTTTCACACAGGCTTCCACAATCTTCACCCATGATCACAGATCTTTTAGTAAGGAAAGCACCAATTTCTGGACTTTGGAATAAATAGAATCATATTTAGCAGAAAAGGTTTGATCATTTTCTTTTACAAACACTAGCTTAAATGAAAAACTACAAAGAGTTTACTGAAGAATGACTAGCATTTTCCCAAATGCATTTTAAATTTACTATTTAAAAATAATAATATGCAAATAATAATATTTTAGTGGAAATTTATCTAATATATTCTAATAATAAACATGAAAATAATTTATAAATGGTTCTGTATTTCAATGTGAAATTTAGTGCAGTTTTATTTATTGTTATACTAGCAAAAAAAACCCGTGATATTCAATAGTCTGACTTCTACAGTAAGGTCTAGCAAATAACCTAGTGTACCACTATATGCGCTGCTGCTGATAGTCAAACAGAGAAAAAAGTCTGAAGACTAGAGGGAGGGAAAAAGCTATCTCATGTAAAGATATTTTTTAAAGAGTTATAAAAATATTATCAAAGATATTTTCCAATTTAACAATTGGGATAGTTACAAAGTCCTCAATGAAGAAAAAAATAAGATGTAATTTATTTAAAAGATAACCGACATGAAAGCTAATCAGGTGAACTAGGTAACCTATAAATTCTTTTCCTAAACAAAAATAGAAACGCTGGGTTAAGTCTAACTTGTGCATAACAACAAAAGCTGACAGAAAATATTAACAATAAAAATACCTTTTGTTCAACTGCTGTTGACTACAAAGCCATTTGAGATTGGACTATTTCAGGGAGTGAAAGTATTAAAAAAATTGAAAGACACAAGACTGCTACCAAGAAATTTTTAATATTCATTTTATTTTCAATTATGTATATTTATTTATGAATATTGGGTGCAGTAAGTGCAGCTGAAGAGTAGGTGTCTACAGAAACCAACAGTGTCAAATCCCGTAGAACTGGGGGATTTTAGCTGCCTGATGTGGTGCTAAGAAGCAAACCAGGATCCCTATGAAAGCAGTATGTATTCTCAACTGCTGAGTCATCTCCTCAGCCTTAAGATTTTGATTTCTAATTTGATTTTTAACTACCTATTAAATATTTAAATGCAAATATGATGTTCTAGGCACTAGGTCATATATTGGAAACAGAGAGAGAAAGACCTGCTAGTATTAAACATAGAGAAATTCTGTTTAGGGCCACATGCTCACAGATCATGGCTCTCTGTGATTTCTCAATGAGCATCTAATTAGTATTTTGTGCTTGTAGGAGGGTCATATGTTCATGTGTTACTTTCATTAGTTAATAAAGAGACTGCCTTGGCCCTTTTGATAGGCCAGCCCTTAGGTGGGTGGAGTAGACAGAATAGAATGCTGGGAGAAAGAAGGCAGTGAGGCAGACGCCATGATTCTCCTCTCCGAGACAGCCGCAGGTTAGAATCCTCCTGGTAAGCCACCACCTCGTGGTGCTACACAGATTATTAGAAATGGGTTAAATCAATATGTAAGAGTTAGCCAATAAGAGGCTACAGATAATGGGCCAGGCAGTGTTTAAAAGAATACAGTTTCCGTGTAATTATTTCGGGTAAAGCTAGCCGGGTGGGCAGTGGGAAGTGGCCCGCCGCTCCTTCTACATATGCTAAAAGATATAATCCATTGTAATAACACACACAATTAAAGCCAGAAAAGTTTTCTACCATTATAAATGGGGGAATAACCATAGAACATGTCATAAGTTATAAAGCACACTATATGTTGAAATCATATTTTATAATTGATTCCCAGCATTATAACAGAAGACTTACTAAGACATGTATAAACCAGAAGCAGCCACCCCCCAAAGACCTGTAATACAGTAAGGAGGGGAAAACAAAGACCACAGAACTGTTATCCTAGAGTCAAAGGATAATGTAATAAACAAATATTCTTCTACTCTAAGAAAATCATTAAGGGGCATCACCTAATGTGGAGGACCTCCTCAAAAAACATTTCTGGGAAATTCAATGTGTACTTGCAGAAGATTAAAACTTCACTGCTACTTCTCAGCTTCTACAAAAAATCAACTCACAACTGAACAAAGAACATATTAGAGAATATGCCAAGATACTAGCAATAATTTTCTGGGCATTGCCACAAAGCACAGAAAACATAATAAATATTGACAAACGGTTTGTAGAAACTAAACAATAAAGAGAGTGTGGAGATAACATACAGGATGTGAGGAAATATTTTCCCATTATTAATCTGTTAGAATCCTCCCTAAAGCCCAAATAATCAAATTTTAAAATGAGAAAATTAGGCTTGAGAAATGTCTCAGCAGTTAAGACAATGGCTGTTCAGACCTGAGTTTGATTTCCAGCACACTGGTGGCTCACAGCTAACTGTAACTCTAGTCCCAAGTGATCCAACATCCTCTTGGGGCCTCCTGCTGGCACCAGGCACAGATGTAGTGCACAGACATATATGCAGATACAACATTTATGCACACTGGATGAAATAATTTTAAAAAACTTTTTAAATAGGCAAATGATATAAATAGATGTTTCTCGAAAGCATAAATATGACTAAAATATATGAGGACACACACTCAGCATGATTAACCCTCAGGGAAATGCAAAGTGAGGCCTCAGTGAGATACCATCCCATGCCAGTTACAATGGCTACTTCTAAAAAAGAAAATATAAACAAAGATAAACAAATGCTGACCAGGAGATAAGCAGGAATTCTTACACATGATTTATGGAAATATAAACTAAAAATAGGACTACTGCTATAAAAGAACAACATGAAGGTCCCGCAAAAGCTGCAAATGTAGCAGATGATCCAGCTAATTTTCTCCTTGGTATCTCTCCAAAAAAATAAAATCAGCATACCCAGAGTGCAGCTGCACAGCCATATATACATTGTAGCACTATTCACTACATGAAGACATGAAATCAGTCTGCACGCCCATCAGCAGATGAATAGTTTAAAAATGCAGGATATCTTTCTAGAGTAGTATTTAGCATTAAAAAGGATGAAATTCTGTTGATTATATCAAAATGGATAAAACTAGAGAAGATTTTGCTATGTGACAAACCCAGAAGGACAAGGACAAATATTCTTCACATATATAGATATAGAAATATTCTTTCTCATATGTCGATGCTATAATACTATAGGCTAGAAGAATGATTCCTAAAAGCTGGGAAAGATGTGGACTTCAGGGAGTGGGAGTGGAGAGCCTGGAATTGATATGGCCACACAATATTCACGTACAGAACTAGCACCCTGAAATTTGCTAGTACACATGGTATGTTAGTGTTTAAAAGGACAAACTTAAGCTAACAAAAGGATGTGTTTCATTATAATCGTCTTTTTCTAGAATAGTACTTATATCTTCAACTAAAAATATTTCTGTCCTTCTAAGAGCAAAGTACTGATGCAGAGTTCAGCACTCAGAATCCTTTCCTTCCACAATCTACTCACCCGTTTATTCTCTCAGATGATTCTCCAAACTCTGCTGTTTCCTGAGATGAACTGAAAATATCTTGATGTTTATTTAATTTGTAAAATAAGGAATCAGAAAAATTTCCGTTACTGAACTGAAAAAAGGAAGAAAATAACAAAACAATATGTACATGTTTACAATTTAAATTGTATTTACCTGTTTACAGATAATTGCTAACTAATGTGTAATTATAACATGGATAGGCAAGAAGATGAATGTTTAAGTATATATCATATGTTTTATTTTCTATTCTACAAAGTAATTAATAGAATATGGAGTTTAAGATGTATAAACAAAATTTTGTCTCTAAGATATAGGTAGATTCTCTAGGTGGATTCTCTCAGCCCTCCTTCTCATCCCTCTGTGATCAGTTGACAATACCAAGAAACACTCTCTACCTGGGACCTCTGGTGGCCAACCTGGCTGGGACTCAGGTAGTTAATTTTGACTTCGACTATCCATCTGGTCTCCCATTCCAATCTCAGCAATCCCATTCCTAGCCTTGTAGCAGTTGTTTTCAGGTGCCTCTCCTCCCACCTCAGCGTCATTCACTGGAGACGCCGACTCCTGGTTCAGACAGAGTCACTCTAGCTCTTTCATCCTAGTTTCTCTACATGACTTCACTGCAACCTACTCTCAAGATTCCCTTGGTCAAACCATCACACCGTCACTTCTCTGTGACCCCCATCTTTGACAGGATTCTCCGGTTCTTCCCATATCCGCACTCAGTCTTTTCTCCTTGCCCATTCCTACTCCTCTCTGCCACTCGCTGACCTGCAGGAGCACTCACTCCAGACAACCATAGTCAACACATATTCCTAAGATCCAGAAAAGGTAACAGAAACCATGGAACAGAACAACCACACATTCCCCCCACAACAAGACCAGGTAATGACACCTAGGAAAACCTCTATTCTCCCAGCTCTAGCTGCCTGGACACCTGTACAAAAACAAACAAACAAAACAAAACAAAAACAAACAAACAAGCAAAAAAAAAACCACTAACAAGTCAAGACAACATGTCACCTCCAGAACCCAGTAAGCTTTCTATAGTATGTCCTGAGAATTGTAATAAAGCTGAATCCCAAGAAAAGAACTTCAAAATGGCAAGTATGAATATGTTCAAGGATGAATAAATAAATGACTTAAGACCATAAAATCATACACAAACAATGAATGAAATATTGGAAACAAGACATGAAAGTAGAAACAGAATCACTAAATAAAATCCAAACTTGTATAAAACTGAAAATGAAAATTTAGGAATCTAAAGAAGAACATCCCAGGTGAGCATCGTCAGCAGAGCACAAGACGTGGGAGAGCGGCACTGAAGACAAGGGAGAAGAAATGGGTCTCAGTTAAAAAAAACTTTGAAACCTAAAAAAATCCAGGTACAAAACACCCATGAAAAATGGAAGACTAAAAAGACCAACATATGAATAAAAAAAATAGAAGAAAAAGATCTCCAGGTCAAAGGCACAAAAAATATTTTCAACAAAATCATAGAAGAAATTTTTTCTAACCTAAAGAAGGAGATGCCTATCAAGGTACAGGAAACAAACAGAACACAAAGTAAGACCACAAAAAAAAACCTCTTCATAACACATAATAATCATAACACTAAATGTATGGAGCAAAGAAAGAATATCAAAAGCTATGAAAAAACAATGTAACATATAATGTCATATCCATTAGAATAACATCTGACTTCTCAATAGAGACTCTAAAGCAGAAGGGCCTGGACAACTCTAAGAACCACACAGATCAGTCCAGAACAGTATTCGCAGCAAAACTATCGATCAAGAAGAAAAACATTCTTAATTATTTTATTCCAGAATTAAAAACATAATGAAAACAAAGTTAAGTAGTATCTACTATGTACCAATACATCTCTACAGAAGGCAATAAAGAAAAACTTCAATTTGAAGAAGTTAACTACACTCAAGAAAACACAAAGACTAAAAACTCCCAGACCACTAAATCAAAACAGGGAAATTCACACTAAACCAAAAAAAAAATCATAATCGATATGCACAGGTCATTGATAATTCTGAATATTAAAGATTTCCTTCTCTAATATCAAAACACAGCCTAAAAGACTGGATTAGAAAACATAATCCATCTTTAGGTACATCCAAGAAACACATCACCGAGGGTAGACAACACTTCAGAGTAAGAGGACTGAGAAAGATATTCCAAGCAATTGGACCCAAGAGAAACAAGCAGATATAGCCATTTTAATATATAAAAAAATAAACTTCAAATCAAAAATAATCAGAAGAGATAGGAAAGAACACTACATACTCATCATAAAAAAAGGTAACTTCCTCATCATAAAAAAAAGGTAACTTCTATACACCAAATACAAGGGCATCCAAGTTCATACACACACACACACACACACACACACACACACCACTACTACAGGCTAAATTACATATTGGCCCTTATATACTGATGATACTGGGAAACTTGAATACCACACTCTTGCAAATAGGTCATTCAGACAAAACTAAACACATAAGGTCATTAAATCATATTAGACCTAGAGATCATTAAATCATAACCAAAGAATATACCTTCTTCTCAGTACCTCATGAAACTTTCTCCAAAACTGACCACATACTTGGACATAAGTCTCAACAGATATAAGAAAATTGAAACAAAACAACCTGTATCATAACAGAGCATCATGGATTAAAGTTGAATATCAAAAACAAAAACAACAGAAAGTATACAAATTCATGAAAACTAAAAAACTCATTAATGAATGAAAAATATATCAAGACAGAAATTAAGAAAGTAATTAAAAGCTTTCCAAAATTAAATGAAATTAATTAATTAAATGAAAATAAAAACACAACATACCCAAACTTACAGGACACACAATGAAGGCAAGTTCATAGCACAAAGTTCTTAAATTAAAAAGAAATAAACAGAGTGAAATCATGTAATCAACTTAACAGCACACCTGAAAGCTTTAGAATAAAAAGAAGAAATAACACTTAAAAGAAATAAATGACAAGAAATAATCAAACTCAGGGCTGAAATCAATAAGAGAAACAACAAACAATACAAAGAATCAATGAAATGATGAATTGATTCTTTGAGAAAAATCAGTAAAATTGGTAAACCCCTAGCCAAATAAATCAAAAAATAGAGAAATAGAGAGAGAAGATTAAATTAATAAAATTGGAGACAAAAATGGAGACATCACTACAGACACCAAATAAATCTAGAGAATTTTAAGGACATACTCTTAAAGTCTGTGCTCCATCAAACTGGAAAACTTAAAAAATAAAACAATAAATTCCTTGATATATTCACTCTAACAAAGTTAAATCAAGATCAGATCATCGATTTATACAGACTGATAAGCCCCAATGCAAAAGAAACAGTAATTGAAAGTCTACCAACCAGAAAATTCTCGGGGCCAGATGGATTTAGTGCAGAATTTTACCAAAATTTCAAAGAAGAATTAATACCAATACTCCTCAAATTGTTACACAAAGTAGAAACTCAAGGAACACTTCCTACTTCCTTTTACAAAGTCACTATTACACTGAAAACAAAACCACAAAGACCTAGCAAAAATTAAAAACTGTAGACCCGTCTATCTTGTGAACATAGATGTGAAGATTTGCAATGAAACATTTGCAAGTAGAATTTAGGGATGCATTAAAAAGGTTATCTGCTGTAATCATTTCCGCTTTATCCCAGAAATTCAAGGATGGTTTGACAAATGCAAATCAATAAATTTATCGATAATCTACCACATAAATATACTGATCAAGAAACCACATAATTATCTCATTAGATGCTTAAAATGTCTTTGAAAGAATCTAAAACCTTTCATGATAAATTCCTTGAAATACTATGAATACAAAGGACCATACACAACACAATAAAGGAAATTTACAGCACGCCCACAGCCATCAACAACCTAAATAGAGAGCAACTCAAAGCATTTCCACTAAAATCAGAAACAAAACAAGGATGCCCACTGCCCCATTCCTATTCAATATAATACTTGAAGTCTTAGCTAGGGCAGTAACACAACTCAAGGATTTCAAGGTGTTGAATGAGGCCACTTGTTTGTTCCAGGCTGCTAAGCCCCAAAATAACCACACAGAAATCATATTATTTCTAATACTGTTTGGTCAATAGCTAAAGTGTATTTCTGACTAACTCATATCTTAAAAAATTAACTCATCTCCATTAATCTGTGTATCACTACAAGGCTGTGGCTTACCAAGTAAAGTTCTGTATCTGTCTCTGATGGAGCAACATGGCTTCTCACTAACTCCGCCTGTTTTCTCCCATCATTAAATTTAGTTTTCCCCACCTAGCTCTACTCTGCCCTATCAGGCCAAGCCAGTTTCTTTATTCATGGACCAATACAAGCAATACATAGAGAGAAGGACCTCCCACATCATCAAGGGGCTACAAATAGCAAGGAAGAAGTCAAAGTATCATTAATTAAAAGAGTAAGACATAATTTCATATATAAAAGATGCTAAAAAACTCCAACAGATAATTCCTACAGCTGATAAGCACTTTCAGGAAAGTAACTGGATACAAAATTAACTTACAAAGACCAGTAGCTTACCTATATACGAATGACAAACTGAGAAAGAAATGAGGGAAGCAATACATTTTACAATATCCTCAGTATATCCCAAGTATATCTTGGGATAACTATAGCCAAGCCAGTGAAAGAGTGGTATAATAAAAACATCAAGACACTGAAGAAAGAAATTAAAGGAATATCAAAAAATGGAAAGGTCTCCCATGCTCATTAATAAGCAGGATTAATATAGTGAAAATGGTCATCTGACCAAAAGTAATCTGCAGATTCGATGCAATCCTTATCAAAATTCTAATACAATTCTTCACAGAACTTGAAAAGACAACTTTCAGCTTCATATGAAAACATTCACAGACATCTGTAAACACAGAGACACACAATAACTGAAACACTCCTGAATAATAAAGAACTGCTGGAGGTATCATCCTTCCTCATTTCAAGCTGTACAACAGTATAGTATTGGCATAAAAAGAGATACGTTGATCAATGAAATTGAATTGGAGACCCAGACAGAAGCCCACATATCTATAGGCACCTGTTTTTGTTTTTGTTTTGTTTTATAAAGAAATCAAAAAATACATGCTGGAGAAAAGATATCTTCAACAAATGATGCTGGTTAATCGGGATGAATACATTTAGTAGAATAGAAATGGATCCATATTTGGATCAAGGACCTCAACATAAGGACAGATAACACTGAATTGATAGTAGAGAAAGTGTGAAATAGTTTTGAACTCATTGACAAGGAAGAAATTTCTGAAGAGAACACTGAAAACACAGGCACTAAGAACAACCAATAAGTGGGACCTCAGGAAACTGAGAAGATTCTGTATGACAAGGACACCATTACTTGGAAAAATGGCAGGCTACAGAATAGGGAAAGAGATTTTTACAATTATTCATCTGATAGATGGTTAATATCTAAAATGTATAAAGAACTAAAAAAACTGAACATCAAGAAATATATAATCCAATTAAAAAGGAGTATAGAACTAAACAGAGTTTGCAAAAGATGAGACACAAATCACTGAGAAACATTTAAAGAAATGTTCAACATCCTTATTCATCGGGGAAATAAAAATCAAAACATCTTATACTAGTCAGAATGGCCAGATTAATAAAACAAAGGACAACTCATGCTGGTAAGGGTGTAGAAAAAGGGAATACAGATTCATTGCTAGTGGGAATACAAACTAGTACAGCCACTACGGAAACCAGTGTGGTGGTTCCTCAGAAAGTTGGGAATAGATCTATCTCAAGATCCAGCTATACCACCCTTGGGCATATACCCTAAGACTGTACATCCTTCCACAGGGACACTTACTCATCCATGTTCATTGCTGTGTTATTGATAGTAACCATAAATTAGAAATAACATCATTTATCTGATGAACAGATAAAGAAAATGTGGTACATTTACACAATGAAACACTATTCAACTATTTAAAAACATGAAATATAAAATTCACAAGTTAACAGATGGAGCTAGAAAAACATTCTGAATAAGATAACACAGACACACAAAAAATTATTTTATGTATTCTTCTATTATGTAGATGTCAAAGTTTAAGACTTTGATAAGAATGCTATAATCCAAATAGCCATGGAGTTAGGTGTAAAGTAAGGGACTGTGGAGAGAGGAGGATCTCACAAGGAAAGGAAAATGGAGTGCAAAGTTAAAGAGAGCCAGGGAGAGACCCAAATGGAAGATTAAAATGGGGAGTGGAAATGGGCATAAGATGAAATATTATCCTTCATTTATCATCATAAATTTGAAACCCATCTTAGTCAAATTTATGCAAAGGAGAACCTGTGATGGAAATATGACATCAAAGAAGTAATAATCCCAATGTACCTGCTCATTTTGCTTTGTTTCAGATGCAAATTTCCAAGGATTTGGTGCTGTCCTTGGGGTGGAGTTTTGGTTTGGAATATGTTTGTTAGATGGTAATTCCATTGGAAGAGAGAGTGGAATACAACTGTAGTTTTCTGTTTTTTTGAACATTCTGTATGAGTTCATGTCTTGTGATGACTGTAGGAAAAGAAAAGGCAAGATCACAAAAAGTACAGAAACTAGAAGTCAAAATAATAGAACTAAAATTAGGAGAAAAGGGGCATGACTACAAAAGAGGAAGTCCTACGGAAAGGCAGGTCATTGGTGCTTCATAGGAGTCCTGGGGGTCAGTGAGCTTGTCTACTTCAGAACACCTTCCCTCTGCTTTCCCAATCTGCCTTCCTCTCTAAAGCTCCTTTCCTGAATGTTACCTTCTAATGACATAAAATCTTAGTTTCTCTAAGCTATAAATCAGACGACAGGATGCCCAAGATATTTTATTACTATCATCGGCTTCCACTGCTTCTCTGATCTAGTTTAAACCTGACAATCCAAAGATGAAGGAGAATAATTAATACAGCATTGGGCATTAAATAGAATTGCAAGTTTTAATCAACCTGTGTACTTTCTCATTCATTATGGCTTCATTTGCAAAAAAAATTGTTATACCTTTAAAAATTACCTTGTGATAAACGTAAGTTCTTAACATCATATAAATATAAATTGATAGAAATAATATTTTCATTACATTTGAACAAATGAACTGATCAGTAAATATGTGAACATAACAAAAGATTCCCTCAGGGAGAGGTGGAGATGGTTCTATCAGTAAACTGCTTGCTAGGCAAGTATAAGGACCAAGTTTGACTCCCCAACACCCATGTCAGTGCACATTTGCAATCCCAGTGATGGAGAGGGAAGAAGCAGGTCAATTCACTAGACTTGCTGGCCAATTAGTATGACTGAATCAACCAGCTCTAGTTGCAGAGAGACCTTGTCTCAAAAAAAAACAACTTGGAGAGTGAGTGACCTCTGATCTCCTATGCACACATACATATGCATCTACCTACTCAACAATGAACACACATACAAATAAATACTTTAAAATATTTCTATATAAATTGTGCTTTGTAACTAACTCTTTGATAACTAGAAGAACCAAGCACTAAGCATGCAAAGCCAACCACATTTCTATTGCTCCAAGGAAGCTTCATAATCAGAGTATTCATTAGGAGTAAATTTCCTATATGTGAAAACTGCAAAAGGAATTATTCAAAAACTATAAAATAGTTAAAGGCTAACTAATTTTGCCTAGTATTTTAACAGTGAGATCGTCTAAGGGCTTGGAACAATTGTTAAAACAACTTACAATTTTCTTTAAAACTCACCTGACCTGGGTCAGCTCCTTCTGTGCCACATAATCTTTGATAGGGTGCACTAAAGAAAACAAAACAAAAAAATTCAAGCATCCATAAACTATATCTTCTGTATATTTAAGCTTCTCAGTGTCTACACAAACACTCAAGATAGAAAACTCTGGTAAATTATGTACAAGTACGTTTTAATGAAAAATATATTAAACTAGGATAGACATTTTCTTTGCTTTTTTAAAAAATACTTATCCTTATTTCAATCATTGGAGTTTTTGCCTGTGTGTTATGTCTGTATGAAGGTGTTGGATCCCCTGGAACTGGAGTTATAGACAGCTGTGAGCTGTCATGTGGGTGATAGGAATTGAACTCAGGTTCTCCGAAGAGCAACTAGTGTTCCTAACCACTGAGCCACATTCCCAGTCCCTGGCATTTTCTAATGTAGAAAGTCAAAGCACATGCACAAAACTCCATAAACGCGTGTCCTAATGGTTTTATATCATTAGAGTAACAAGAACAGGAGCTAGAAGGTAATGTCCTTCTCAGTTTCCCAGCAGACACGCAGGGTTGGTAGTGTTAACGTCTCTCAGTCACTGTCTTAGCTAGCACTTACTTAGTCCCCATGTCATCGATGCACAGTTTGGAAGGTACACAATGAGGTGACATTGGAAGTTCTAACGCATGCTTTCTTAGTGGAACTTTCAAGTCTCTATTCATATTCACATGAGTTGGTCTTTTCATGATTTCTATAATAAAAAATGTTAAATATAACTGAAATAGAAGCTTTAAAATCTTCTGTTATATCATTCTTCAATTGATTGTGCATTTGAAAATGTTCTAAAACATCTTTACATGTGATTGCAGAAACTGACTGCTAACCACTATTAATGAAATTTAACTTTTTCTCCTGCATTTTAGCCATCTATAAAAGGGCTCTACTAATGCAGCACAATGTCCTCTTTCTGAGTCACTAGACTGTCTCAGACACTGTACAACACATCCTCACAGCACTCTATGTGTTCTCTGTTTCAGCACTTTGCACATTTTATTACACTTAATTAACCCTATCACCGTCAATAGGCTGTAAACTTCTGAGCAATGCTTCTTAACCGTGGGTCACAACCCTTTGGGGGTCAAATGGCCCTTTCGCAGATGTCTCTTAGACTACTGGAAAGCACAGATATTTACATTATGATTCAAAACAGTAAAAAATTACAGTTACAACTCAGCAATGAAATAACTTTATTATTGGGGTCACCACAACATGAGGAATTGTACTAAATCGCAACATTGGGGGTGGCGGCATTATGAAGGTTGAGAACCACTGCTTTAGAGGAACGAGCCTTGTATCATTTTATGAAGTAAGATCACTGTTTTATTTGCTCAGTACCCAGCCCACCTACCAAGTTCTAGTGAGAATGTTCTCTTTTTCTGTAAAACAGTTCTTGGGCAAAGAAAAATGATTCATAGACTTTTGTCCTTCTGACCCAGTGCAACTGAGCAATTGCTGGAGTCCAGCAGTAGCAAAAGAAACTTCTTGCAGAACTTGAAAAGTTGGAATGAAACAACCCATAGTCTTTCTCCTCAGGAAACTGGGCATGAGAAAACTGGTTTCTTAAGACCAGCTTTTAAATGTTCATGATGAAGACAATCTTCATTGATGAGGTATGGTGATATTTTGTTTGTGCTATAACCAATAAAGCTGCCTGAGGATCAGGGTGTGGAGCTAGCCACTAATTAGTCATAGAGGCCAGGCAATGGTGGCATAGGCCTTTAATCCCAGCACTCAGGAGGCAGAGGCAGATAGATCTCTGTGAGTTCAAGGGCACTCTGTGCTACAGTAGATTGATCCAGTCTCAAAGAGAAAACAGAGCTAGGCAGTGGTGGCTCACACCTTTAATCCCAGTACTTGGAAGATACATGCCTTTAATCCCAGCACTGGGGGTGGGTAGAGACAGGAAGAGATATGGCTGGGCAGAGAGAGGAATATAGGGCAGAAGGAGATAGGAGCTGAAGGCTATTCAGTCTGAGGATTCCTGGAGACAGAATTTTGGCCCCTTCGGTCTGAGGATTAGGTAGAGGTAAAAAAGTCTCTTTAGTGGCTAGCCCCTTTACTTCTCTGATCTTTCAGCATTTACCCTATTATCTGCCTCCGGGTTTTTATTATTAAAAGCAATTAGAATTCATATTACAATGAGGTTTACCACTTAACAAAGAAAGAATCTTAGTGGAATTCAAGTCCCTGTTTGAGGCGTTTCTGAGACATGCACCACTACCCCGTCTTAGTGGAATTTTAGGTATTTCTGAAACTCAGTGCTCTACTGCCCCATCTTTGGAACTTCTGCCTTTAGCCACCACCAAGTCATGACTAATGAAATCTTGCTCTATCCCCCATGTTGAATACTTATACTCAATAAACACATGTTGAATGAATGATAGAGAAAGAAAGTGATATAATTCGTGATACCATCCACATGTAGTTAATTTTACTGGCATTTAGGAAAGCTGAAGATGCAGGAAGGTCACTCTCATTTTCCTTCTTCTCAAAGTAGGTCACATAACTTACAAGCATTTTTGTGACCCTTCTTCAAAGCAGGCAATAGAAGAGAGACGCCCTTCTTAGACCTGAAGGACAAAGTCTGTTTTGTCCCTGCTGCATTGTTGGAATGAAACCTAGGACTCTGCATGTTCAGTCTCTGCCCTGATCCTGCACACACAGGATCCCAGAGAAGAACCTGAACACATCATGAAGGGGTCTCCTCTGAGTCCCACCTTTAACTCACATACTCGAATTTTGTCGTGCATCTCTACCGCTATTCGTGGCTTCTTCACACAGCACTGAAAATGCATAGACTTAACCATTTCTTTAGATATTCATTTCCTAATAAAGGCCCTCATATCACACAATTTCTTAAATACATGCTTTTATATTTCTTTTACTATTGGGAGCTAAACCAATATTCTAGTGATAGATCAGGAAAACTACATTTTCCTCAAAAATATATATAAAAATAAATATATCAGTAAAGTCAATTATTTTATTCTAAAAATTCAGGCTAATATATTTATTCCTTCTAAAACATAAATAAGTCTACTTATTATTCATGGACAGAAAAATATGCTAGATAAACTAAATGGGGAGGTACTAATATACATATCAACATTTATCTCTCCCAGACAAACTGTCTTTTTTAAGGATTAATTTTCATTTTGTGTATAGTTTTCCTGCACACATGTATGTGTACCAAGTGCATGCCAGGAACCTACAGAGTCCAGAAGAGGGTGGCGAGTCCCTGTACCTGGAGTTAGACAGTTGTGAGCTATCATTTGAGTGCTGGGAACTGGACACAAGACTGCTGCAGGAGCAGCCAGTATGTCTACTCCTGAGCCACTTCTCTGGCCCCCAACAGCCTTTTCTTTTGAACTCTTTTATGTTTGTTTTTATGGTTTTTTTTTTTTTTTTGGTTTTTTGAGACAAGGTTTTGCTGTACTTCTAGAACCTGTTCTTGTAGACCAGGCTGGCCTCAGACTCACTGAGATCCACCTGCCTCTTTATGCTTGTTTTTAAAATGTAAATTATAGGCCCATATTGGTTTAAAAGTCAAACTGGGAGACAAAATAAACTTAATTTTGAAGTACAAGATTCTTAGAGTTACAATCCCAGAAGTGCATAAGAAATTCTAGTTGCAAGACAGGAAAGACATCACATGCTACAGTTACTCATCTGACCCGGGCTGCACCTCGGCAACATTTCTCTCAGAACAGAGCAGATCTACCTGATGTCCAGAAAAGGAGCCACTGAATATTATTTCCAGTGCTTCTCCTCGGAATCGCTTTAATGATTAGTTGATTTAGAAGTCAAGAACTAGTATGCTCTTTCCACCATTTCTATAAAAAGTAGGCCTTTATTTGATAAACATGATCATTAAAGGAAAACTTTCAAAACTTATTGTTTTGAAACTTGACTTTTTGCTTACAGTTTTAGAAGAATGATGTTTTATGCAAATAAAAAAGTTATTTTATTTAGCTTAAATAACTGAACGAATTTGCAGTTGATAAATAAAAGAACAATTTCCCAATATTAGATAATGAAAATTTAATACTGTATTATTATCGGAATGGGCTGAACAAGATATACTTGCATATATATATATTCTGTTTCATATTATTTTAAGCAGGCACATGCATTCTATTTTTCAAATTGCATTTTAATTACAGCATTCAACTGCTCCCTTTTCTTCCTTTAAACTCTCCCATTTATCCCTTCCCAACCTACTTCAAACTTTGGCTCTTTTGTCATAAGTTATAATTACATGCATATATGCATTGTATATACATATATATTTTCAAATATATTCTGCTGAGTCCATATAATGCCACTTGAAAGCATATTTTAGTGTTCCATAGATGATTATGAACAGGTATATATTCAATGATACAGAATAGCTGATGTTCAGAATAAGATGTTTTTCCTCTACACCCCCATATCCCTATCCATTCAATCTCATTTTCTCTCTCTGAAAGCCCCACTCTCTCCATATCTCTTCAATATAGTGCTTGAAGTTCTAGCAATAGCAATAAGACAATAAGGAGATAAAGGGGATTCGAACTGGAAAGGAAGAAGTCAAACTTTTGTTATTTGCAGATGATATGATAGTGTACATAAGTGACCCCAAAAACTCTACCAAAGAACTCCTACAGCTGATAAATACCTTCAGTGATATGGCAGGATACAAGGTCAACTCAAAAAAATCAGTAGCCCTTCTATACACAAAGGATAAAGAAGCAGAGAGGGAAATCAGAGAAACTTCACCTTTCACGATAGCCACAAATAGCATAAAGTATCTGGGGTAACACTAACCAAGGAAGTGAAAGACCTATTTGACAAGAACTTTAAGTTTTTGAAGAAAGAAATTGAAGAGGATACCAGAAAATGGAAAGATCTCCCTTGCTCTTGGATTGGGAGGATCAACATAGTGAAAATGGCAATTCGACCAAAGGCAATCTATAGATTCAATGCAATCCCCATCAAAATCCCATCAAACTTCTTCACAGACCTTGAGAGAACAATAATCACCTTTATATGGAAAAACAAAAAACCCAGATAGCCAAAACAATCCTATACAATAAAGGAACTTCCAGAGGCATTACCATCCCTGACTTCAAGCTCTATTACAGAGCTACAGTAATGAAAACTGCTTGGTATTTGGCATAAAAACAGAGACGTTGATCAATGGAATGGAATTAAAGACCCAGGTATTAATCCACATACCTCTGAACACCTGATTTTTGACAAAGGAGCTAAAGGTATACAATGGAAGAAGGAAAGCATCTTTAACAAATGGTGCTGGCATAACTGGATGTCAGCCTGTAGAAGAATGAATATAGACCCATATCTATCACCATGCACAAAACTTAAGTCCTAATGGATTAAAGACCTCAATATAAATCCGACCACACTGAACCTGATAGAAGAGAAAGTGGGAAGTAGACTGCAATATATGGGCACTGAAGACCACTTCCTACCTATAACCCCACTAGCACAGACAATAAGAGCAACAATGAATAAATGGGACCTCCTGAAACTGAGAAGCTTCTGTAAAGCAAAAGACACAGTTATTAAGACAAAAAGTTAACCTACTGAATGGGAGAAGATCTTCACCAACCCCCCATCAGACAAAGATCTGATCTCAAAAATATATAAATAACTCAAGAAACTAGACATTAAAATTTTAATTAGCCCAATTAAAAAATGGGGTACTGAACTGAACAGAGAATTCTCAACAGAAAAAGTTCAAATGGCCAAAAGATACTTAAGGTCATGTTCAATTTCCTCAGTGATCAGGGAAATGCAAATCAAAACAACTTTGAGATACCATCTTACACCTGTCAGAATGGCTAAAATCAAAAACACCAATGATAGCCTATACTGGAGAGGATGTGGAGTGAGGGGAACACTCATCCATTGTTGGTGGGAATGCAAACTTGTGCAGCCACTTTGGAAATCAGTGTGGCAGTTTCTCAGAAAATTGGGAGTCAACCTACCTCAAGATCCAGCAATACCACTCTTGGGAATATACCCAAGAGATGCCCAATCATACTACAAAAGCATTTGTTCAACTATGTTCACAGCAGCACTATTTGTAATAGCTAGAACCTGGAAACAACTTAGATGCCCTTCAATGGAAGAATGGATAAAGTGTGGCAATATATACATTAGAGTACTACTCAGTGGTAAAAAAAAATAATGACATCTTGAATTTTGCATGCAAATGGATGGAAATAGAAAATAATATCCTGAGTGAGATAACTCAGACCCAAAAAGATGAATATGATATGTACTCCCTCATTAGTGGATTCTAGCCATAAAAAATGACATTGAGCCTATAGTTTACGAACCTAGAGAAGCTAAATAAGAAGGTGAACCCAAAGAAAAACATATATAGATCCTCCTGGAAATTGGAAGCAGACAAGATGGCCACGTAAAAGTTGGGAGCATGGAGATGGGGGTGGGGTGAGCAGAAGGGGAGAGGGGGAAAGACAAGGGAGAAGGGGAGGATTGGGGAGAGCTTGGGGGAATGGGATGGTTGAGATGGAGGAAGGGCAGATATGGGAGCAGGGAAGAAGATATCTTAATTTAGGGAGCCATTTTAGGGTTGGCAAGACACTTGGCTCTAGAGCACTTCCCATGTGTCCAAGGGGATGTCCCCAACTAGGTCCTTGGGCAGTAGAGGAGAGGGTGCCTGAACTGACCTTGTCCCATAGTCACACTGATGAATATCTTGCATATCACCACACAACCTTCGTCCGGTGATGGATGGAGATAGAGACAGAGACCCACATCGAAGCACTGGAGTGAGCTTCCAAGATCCAGATGAAGAGCAGAAGGAGGGAGAACATGAGCAAGGAAGTCAGGACCTCATGGGTTGGTCCACCCACTGAGCCGGTGTGCCTGAGCTAATGGGAGCTCACCAGTTGGACTGGGACTGAACAAGTATGTGATCAAAGTGGACTCTCTGAATGTGGCTGACAATGGGGGCTGACTGAGAAACCAATGATAATGGCACTGGAATTTGTCTCTATTGCATGTACTGACTTTTTGGCATCCTAATCTGTTTGGATGCACACCTTCCTAGGTCTGGAGGGAGCAGAGAGAGCCTTGGACTTCCCACAGGGCAGGGTACCCTGCCCTCTCTTAGAGGGGAGGGTGAGTGGGGGAGCGGGAGGGAAATGGGAGGAGGGGAGGAAGTGGAAATTTTGAATGGTATTATATATAAAGCAATAAAAATAAAAAACTCTGTTATTCTTTCTGTACAAATTTCCTAAGTAATATGAGATAATAATAACACATTCATTATTTTTTCTCTCAAGTTAAACTTGAAACTATTTGCCTAGAAATAATAATATTATAAAACTCCATGACAAATTAATAATATCAGACAAGTTAATCTTGTATAATACACACAGCCTAAAATTAAAATAAATAGATAAAACAATAAAAGATCTTAATTTAAATATTGGTTAAGCTTATAATTTATAAAGGCAATAAAGTTTTAAGATAAAATTTCCATATGCTTTGAGTGCTGGAATTTCTAATCAATTAGACAACAGACATTATTATGAATTACCACATGAAGACAAAAATAACGGCCTTCGAAAGACTTACCAGGTGTTTTCTTCTTGGACGATATCTGATTGACCATGTACAGATTAAGAAGGTCTAAACTGGCAGTGGGGTTCTTGACAGGTGGAAAAACTCCTAGTGATTTCATTTTTGATTTTAACTTACTCTTTTCAAAGTATTCCTAAAATAATTAAGAATTAAAAATATTAATTTCACAAACTTACAGCTCAAGGCAGAATCATAAAGAACAAAAACAGTGAAGTCACTATGCCACTGACTTCATGTGTCACACTTGTGACACAGCCTGGGAACGGAAATCAATAATGATAGCTTGTAGTTTACCTAAAGACTTTGAATCTGGCAGGTAAAACTCTTTTTCTGTAACAAATAACATATTACCCTATACTTAAGAAAACTCACAAGATACAGCAAAGTGCCTGCTGAAAGGCTAAGAGGGGACAGTGAGACAGCACAGAGATAGAAGCCTGATGCCCTGAACCCTTAGTAGGAGATAGCCAAGCCTTCTTTTGAAAGTTGTGTTTTGACCTCTACAGACACGCTATGATACATGTGTATTCCATCCCCACTTGCACACACGCGTGCGCACACACACACACACACGTGTGTGTGTGTGCACATATACACACACATCAATAGTAATAATAAAATTGTACAACCAAGAGGAAAGCAAAAGCTATGTGAGAACAAATTGCCAACCAATGCCAATTTAACTCACTATATCACAGCTGCTTAAGGTTGTCCATAAACCACACATATGTATATAAATATAAACTGGATATATAGTTATATATATATATATATATATTTCTTCCTGAATTTCTGAACTATAACTATTCTTCATTCTTTAGTTACATTCTCCACTTACTTAGTTCAAAGACATTTTAATTTTTAAAAAGTATTTATTTTTAATTATGAGGGAGCATGTATGTGAGTGAGTATACCCGTGGGGTTCATAAGATTGTTGTGGATCTGCTGGAGCTGGAGTTGCAGGCTGTTGTGGGGCATATGATATGGGTGCCCGAGCCAAACTCAGATCCTCTATAAGGGAGTTCATGCTCTGAAACACTGAGCCACGTCTCCAGCCTTCTTTATCAACATAGTGAGCATTTACATAAAGATTCTAGGTTTCTTACCTGTTCCCTTCCCCCCCTTCTCTTCAGACACCATCCCCACTCTTACAGGTTCAATACAGGAAAGAAAACATGCAGTATTTGTCTTTCCAAGCCTAGCTTACTTTTACTTAATTATTTTCAGCTCCACCTTCTTCCCTGTAAATGCCATGATTTCATTTTTCTTTATAGCTAAATAGAATCCCATGTGTATATTTTCTTTATCCATTCTTCAGATGGTTGTGTACATACAGGCTAGTCCCATTCTGAGCTATCATGAACAGTATAGCTATAAACATGGCCGTGTTAGTGTCTCTGTGATATAGTAATTCAGTGGTTTTCAACCTGTGGGTTGCAACTCCGTTGGGTTCACAGGGGTCACCTAAGGCCATGGGAAAGCACAGATATTTATATTATGATTCCTAACAGTAGCAAAATTACAGTTAAGAAGTAGCAACAAAAATAATTTTATAGTTATGGGTCACCCCAACATGAGTGACAGTATCAAAGGGTTGCAGCATTAGGAAACTTGAGAAGCACTGCATTAAGAAGCCTTTAAATATATATCCAAAAATGATATCACAGGGCCTTGTGGTAGTTCTAGTTTTTTGAGTAACCTTCACACTGAGTTCCATAGTGCCTAAACTCCCATCTACTGGCATAAGGGATACTTTTTTCCTGTATCCTGGCAAGCATTTGTTATTAGTTTTCTTGATGCAAGTCCTTCTCACTGGATGAGATGAATAGATTTTCAGTGCTTTTGAGACAGGGTCTCAATCTGTATCTTAGACTAACCACAACTCATTAGTCATCCCAGCCTGGGCTTTGAATTCATAGCAATCCTGAGCAAACCTTCTGAATACTGACATTGCAGAGATGTGTCTCCAAACCAGCTGAGATGGAATCTTAAAGTGCTTTGGATTTGTCTTTCCCTGATAGTTAAGATTGCTGAACACTGTTTTCAAGAGTCTATTGAACATATATTTCTTCTTTTGAAAACTGTTTATCCAATTCATTATTCCATTCACTGACTGTGTGACATGTTTTCTGGTGTTTACTTTTTTGAGATCTTCACATATTACAGATATTTACCTTCCACTAGATGTACAGTTGACGAGGTTCTCTCCCATTCTGTAGGCTGTCTCTCCACTTGGATATTGTTTCCCTTCCTGTGCAGAAGTCATTTACTTCATGTAATCTTATTTGTCATTCCTTGAGATTTACTGTGCTGTTGGAGTCCTTGTCAAAACGTCCTTACCTATGCCTATGTCTTGAAGTGTTTTAACTATGTTTTAAGACATTCATTAGTTTTAATTTTTATCTGCTATTATGCCCTTGACATGGTAGCAGACTATCTTCAAAACATCTTCCACTAAGTATTTCATAACACAGTGGCATAAGGTTATGTACAAATGAATTGTTCAAACAGAAAAAGTTCAAAATGACAAAAAACACTGGAAGAGGTCACATAAGCAAGTAGTTCCTTAAGTTTTCAGGATATTAAGGCAATACATCTCAAAATATAAAGGCCCTTCACCAAAAAAAATATATATCTTCTTGTAACTGACAGAGATCATTACAGAAAACCACAATCAATCAAAATGCAGAGAGAAAGTGCCCACGTGGTATCCAGCCTCTATTGATACATCTGTATCCAAGTCCCAGGGATCACAGCAGAAGAGGAGATGGAAAGATTGTAAAGTTTGCTTTGAGAGTGTGTCTCCTAGGTCTTCCCACATAGGCATGGATGACCTGGAATCACTCTGTAGCTCAGGTTGGGCTTGGACATGCAGCCGTCTCCTTGTGCTTAGCTACAATTACAGCAGTGTGTCACTATGCCTGGTCATGGGGTAAGCTGATTAATGACAAGGAGGATTCAAGAGTTTAATGTTACATTTGCTATAACAGAGCTCTCATCGCTCAAATGACAATGACCTTACCTTCTGCTTTCTTCTTTCTTGCTTTATTAGAACCCTGGTCCTAAAAAGATAAATAGGAAAAAACATACAGTTACTAAAGAAACAGACCATTTCTAATATGATTGGCATTTTTGTTGAAAATCTGAAATTAAAATTTTCCTATTATTTTCTGAAAATATTTTAAAGCATTTATAGTAATATTTCCACATAAAATTCTTAGGAAGTCCAAAGTGCAATAAAAACTATTACAATAATTAATAACTTATACAAAATAAATCTGAGATAAGCAAAAAGAAAGGAAAGCATTAGAAATGCCCATTATTGAACCGTTCTCATCTGATAACAAAATTCTTGGTCAACAACTCCAGTTTTCTTTGCTTTTCTTTACATTTCAGCATTCTGGTTATATCACTCTGGAACAGACAGAAGACATCTTCAGGTCCTAAGGAACAGTGGAGTGTATTGCTAAGGCAATTTCAATAGCATTAATGTATCCGTTATCTCAGAACTGGGCATTATGGCACACACCTGTAATTCCAGCAGCTGGGACGCTGAGGCAGGAATACCAGGCCTTTGAGGTCACTTTATCCCACAGAGTTGTTCAGATGTACTCTGAGCAACACGGCAGGAATATGACTCTAAACACATCAAGGTCTATAATGTTACACTGGTAGAACACCTGCCTAGCACCCACACAGCCGTGACTTTGATCCTTGGCACTGCAGAAGGCAGAAGGAAAAAATAAAGCACTCCCTGCTCTAAGTCAGTTTAAGTTGCTGTAATAAACTACCACAGTTGGGTGGGTAGTTAAGATTGGTGCACAAAAAAACTCTATCCCAAGGTATGCCACTTTGTTATGATAAGTACTTTGAGGAATGTGATACTCAGAAGGAATGTCTTTCTTGACCACTTGATTGCCTTCCTACTATTGCCATCTCTGCCACACAGTGGATCATAGAAAGTAGAACCTACTTTATACAATCAGTCATAAAGTCTAGAATTAAACTTAAACTTAGAGTTTTATGTAAGAGCTGGCTATCCTTTCCTGACCTCTCTTGTTTGATATAGATTGTAGAATTCAGTCAGTTTAGAAGGGATCTTGGCTCATACCTGTCAGGAAAGAATGCTACATAGAGAATCTAAAAATAGGCCTTGTGGGTTTCTACTTTCTATCTGCTATTACTAAGTCATTCTTTTCATGTCCAATCACTCATCCTTACAGGCATTGATTCTTCAGCAAACCTGAATAGGAACAAACGCTGTTCCCTGGGATTATGGTCTTCATTTCTGAAGCTCCCCGAGTCACACGCAACTGAGTAAAATAAATGTGCTACACTGCTCTCTTCACGGTCTGGCTTATGTACAGGTCTGTGGTGGCTGTGGCCTTTATGATGTGCAGGAAAGAGAATACACTTTTCTGCCTAAACTGTAACAACAGAATCTCTCTCAGCTCTGGCAGCCGTACAGACTACAATCAAAATGTCCAGATCCACACCTACCTAACTGATGCCTATTTTCTAGTTCACAGATGGAGACTTTACATATTTGGTTACATAGTAAAGGGATAGGCTGGCTCTCTGGATCGTCTTTTGTAAAAGCAGGAATCATAATCACAAAGGTTCCTGTCTTACAATTTAGTCACATAACACAGATCCCACACTTCCCCATACCAAAACCTAGGGGTTAGGAAAATTCAAGTCCCAGTCCTAGATGGTGTCAGATAAATTAAGGACATTAATTGGGATGTAGGCATGTGAGAGGACCCTACTGAAGCTGAGAACTTTGAACCCTCGATTTTCAAGAGTTTCTCTCACCTGAAGCAGCAGTCTCTCCATCCTCAGCAGATGGACTCTCACCCTACTCCCTAAAATATTGCCTTTTCTGCCTTTGACTGGGGAAAATAGTTCTTTGCTGTCAGATAAACCAGAAGTGACTTTTCCTGCAGGAGTTGCCAGGTAAGACAATACTGATGTCCCTCAGAGCTCAGCAATAGTTGCCGTTAGACCTAGAACCACACTGAGGGCTAAGCAGGCTCCTAGAGGGGAGCTAGAAAGTGCAGTCCATGTGCAGGTGCACCACACTACTATAGAGTGTAAGGAGTTTGCTAATTCATTCAAGTAGATCTTGGAAAATATGTATGGGAATGGATTTTAAGGATGTGGGATATTGTTAGACGGAACATAAAACTGGATCAGGATGAGTTTATTGATATTGGCCCACTGAAGCGAGATTCTATGTTTTTATATGGAAGTTCAAACATTTTAAAAAGGTCTGAAAAGTTTGTTTGGGTGGTCAGATGAAGCATTGTCAAAAGATGGACTACTGGAAAGGAGTTTGAGATGCCTGATACCTCATGGCTTAGTGTTGATGATCTTAGGTTTGGGGAAATTGCAATGCCATAGTGTATAAGACCTAGTCCTCCACAATGGGAAGTGTAAGACCTAGTCCTCCACAATGGGAAGGCCCAGAAGACATGCCCTTCACTAATCCTATAAGATGCCAAAGGGTGACAGAGGCACCTGCACATTTGAAGAGCTTTGTTGTCACCATTTCCTTTGTGCCAAACCTTAGGGTTGGAGATGCTATTATTGTTCCTTTGGATAGGTTAAATGCAACGGGTTAAACTGAGGTAGCAGGGGCCAGGTAACACTGAATCACCAGCGCTAAAGTGATTACAGTTATGGTAATAGGCAGCATAGGTAAAGCAATGTTCATAATGACCTAACTGTAATGGTTAGCACAGGCAAAGTGAATTGTATGGTGGCCTAACTCATCTGGACCTTTAGTACTGGTTATTCAATCATGGTATTTCCAGAGATAAAATATATTTTTAAAAGCCTACTCTGTTTCTGTTTGACCTATAGAAACAGAAAAATCCCCAAACAAATTAAAGAAAGTCTCCATTGAATTATAGCAAAAGGCCTGTGAACCAATTTCCAGACTTAAGCCATTTGAAGATCTAGAACCCCGTGAGTAAAAGGATGGCCAGGTTCCACTGAGGAAGGACCTTGATAAAACATGTAAGAATTTTATTGTTAGTCTTTCTCTAGTCCTTTCCCAGAGAGACCCAAGGCCTTTTACAAAGCAACTGTATACTGGGGAAAGGAAATAAGCAGATTTTCTAGGGTCTATTGTGTACTGGTTTCGAATTGAGGATGAGTCTGAAAAACCCCGAGAAGCATTGTGGCCCTCCAATTAAAGTAGATGCTTATGAAAGTCAGGTAACTAATAAAGTTTTGGATGAAGTCCAACTCACAGTGGATCCAGGGGTCCCTAAATTCATTCTTTAGCTATTTCCTCAGTTCCAAAATGCATAACTGGGATACTTACAAGTTGGCAGAATTCTCACATTGGTTCCCTGACCTCTGGGGAGAGCTTTATTATGGTTGGAAACGCCAAATGGAAGTCACTGGAGTTTCTTCTATCAAAGAAAATAGTGACTCAAAGACAATATCACATCCCAGGAGGAACTGCAGGAATTAATGGCACCAACAAGTACTTATAAAATACAGAATGGTGCGGCCTACTATAACCCTTAACTCTCATATCTGGCCAATACAGAAGGATGGATCATGAAGAATAACAGCTGATTATCAGTAACTTAATCAAGCAGTGACTGTATGTACAGCTCCTGTGCCAGATGTGGTGTTCCTAATGAGCAAGTCAGCACAGCTCTTGGCGTGTGAAACACAGCTGGTTGCCTATCAAATGCCTTTTCCTCAGTACCTGTCTATAAGAAGCAATTTTTAAGTACCACCAGAAGAAATTTTTCATTTGGCAAAGCCGGCATGATACCTTTACAGTTTTACCTTGAAGTTGTATTAACTCTCAAGCCCTGTGTCATAACTTAGTTAGAAGGGATCTTGATTATCTGTCTCTTCCACAAAATTTTACATTGGTCTACTGATAACAACATGTTGATTGGGTCAAGTGAACAGGAGGCAACAATCACTCTGAACCTATTGGTAATACGTACATACATCAGAAAATGGGAAATGAATTCAATCAAAATTCAAGGACCTACTACCTCAGTGAAATCCTTAGAAATCCAGTGGTGAGGGGCATGCAGAGATATCCCTTCTAAGGTGAAGGATAAGTTATTGTACCTGGCTCCTCCCACCACCAAGAAAGAAGCACAATTCTTAGTGGGCCTATTTTAATTCTGAAGACAGCATATTCCTCCCTTGGGTATTATTCTGGCCCATATACCAAGTGACTCAGAAAGCTTCTAGCTTTGGGGGGGGGGGCTTGGAAATAGGAGGCTGCTCTTCAACAGTTCCAGGCTGCTGTGTAGTCTGCTCTACCACTTGGACTATATGAGCCAGCAGAGCCGGTGGTACTTTAGGTGTCAGTAGAAGACAGGAATGCTATCTGGAGCTGTTGGCAGGACCCTATATGTGAATCATATTACAGAACTTTGAGGTTTTGGAGAAAGGCTCTATCATCATCTGCTGACAATTATTCTCCCTTTGAAAGACAGCTCTTGCCTTGCTTTTGGGTCTTAGTGGAAACTAAACATTTGACAATGGGCACTAAGTTGCCATAAACCTGAGCAGCCCATCATGAGCTAGGTATTATCTGACCCACCAAGGCACCAAATTGAATGCACACAATAACCTTTCATTTTCAAATGATTGGGCCCAATTGGGTCCTGAAGGCACAACAGCAGTTGTGTGGCTTAGGCAGTTTGTGGGATCACTGCAACAGTGTCTATCCCTAGTGCATAAACTGGCTTTTTAGGAGGCCATTCCCTATACCTTGCTGAGCCTAGGATACAGGGAGTGGCCTTGGTCCTGCCTCAAGTGATGTGACAGACTTTGTTGACTCCAAATGGGAGGTCTCACCCTCTCTGAGGAGTGGATGGGAGGGGTGGGATGGGAAGGAGGTGAGGGAACTACGATTGATATGTAAAACTTAAATTTTTTTTTTAAAAAAAGATTGTTTTAAAAAAGAAAAGAAGAAAGAATGATAGAGTGGACTTTTGAAGGCATAGTTACAGTGCCAATTTAGGTAGCAACAGGCTGGAGGGCTGGGGCAGGGGTCTTCAGAAGACGGCATAAT